ATTTATGATCCAATTATCAGGAGTGAAAATAGAATTAACAATATCTGATTTTACCATATTTGATGTGCTAACAGTTGATGAAGAGTTAAATTGATTTAGAAGACATTTCAGATTTTGAATTTCTTATGTGGAAAAGACTCCAATGGATAGTGAACCAGGTATTTCCCTAACTTCAACAAAATTTACTTGAGCTCTTGTGGTTCCACCTCTTCTTCTTCCCCAACCTATAATTGGTCTTCTATGCAACTTCTAACAAGTTTTCCTAGTGTGTCTTGGTTTGCCACAATAGTCACATTTCCATATATCTCTGGATTGATCAGACTGAGCAAGTAATTCAGCTTTCTCAACTGGTATAATGTGAAGTATGGTATTTCATCTACTCTCTTCTTGCTAAACATAAGCATGAGTTTGTTCTAATGAAGGAAAAAGATCTTTACCAAGCACTTGGACTCGTATTTGATCATATTCGGTGTTCAAACCAGCTAAAAAATTATAAATTCGCTTTTTTCTATCAATTTCTGAAATTTGATTGCATCTGCAGGGCACTCTGCTTAAAAATCTTGATAGTAATCTAATTCCTGTCATAATTCATTTAGTTCAGAAAAATATTGAGAAATAGTCATATCTCCTTATTTTGTGCCATGAACTTTATTGCGGAGTTCATAAATCTAGGTGTCATTACTCATCTGTGAATTTATGAATTATGACATTACCAATGAGCTCTCAGAATCTCATCTATTATATTTTAAAGTACTAACATCTGGTTTTTTCACTTTACTAGTAATGTAACCCTGCAATCCTCTAAATTTGATGAACAATAAATAAGATTTCGACCAAGCAAGATAATTAGTTCTATCAAGTTTTACGGGATTGATTTGTAATGAAGGATTATCAAAACTAGTAACACTTCCTTTTTTTACTTCTGTTCATTTTAGACTGCTAAAAATAAGAAGAAAAACTATCCAGTAATAAAAAATAGACCTATGTGCACCAAGGAGCTAAAAAAGAAAATCAGATCTAGTTCGGCTATAAACAGCTCGGGTTTAGTTCTAAAACGGTTCAGACTCGGCTCTAGAACGGCTTATACTCGGCTCAAAGTCGGTTTGACTCGTCTTATCTGGACAGATCTCTGAACGTGCGCCAGAAAAAGGTAACGGTGTGGCCTTTTTTACATGTATCTATTGATGTGCGGCTGTAATTTTTTTTTACTAGTGTTTCTAGATGTGCGGCTACACCTCTTTACTGGCGCTTGAGGATGTGCGACTGCAACTTTTTACCAGCGCTTATGGTTGTGCGGTTGTATATTATTACCGGTGCTTTCGGAGGTGTGACTGCACTTTTTACCGATGCCTGCGAATGTGCGGTTTCAATTTTTACCGATGTTTGCGAATGTGCAGTTTCAATTTTTATCGGTGCCTGCGAATGTGCGGCTGCATTTTTTTATCGGTGCTCTGATACCATGAAATTTTTAAAGAAAATAAACTTCTAATTTTTTATTTCTTGTTTTGTTTACATTTAGAAGATATATATAAACTAATTATTTTTATTCTATTTAAACTCTAATTATAAAATATAATCTTACTATTAGAAGTTTAAATAATATAATATTTTAGTTAACATAAAATCCTTATCAACAAAACTCAAACAGAAGAATGACAAGAATCCTTAGAGGACCCTGTAACCTTGAAATTACAGGCTACAATAGGCTGTTCCTCAGGGGGTGTTGTGAGGATAAGAGGTATACTCAATAAGAACGCTATTATAATTTTGTTAGACAGTGGTAGTTCCTATTCATTTATGGATACCTAGGTGACAGAAGAATTGAAGGGCCAGGTGGAATACAACAGACCTCTCACTAGGATAATGGCTAATGTTCACAAAGTGACCAATGAAGGTGAATGTTTAGGAATCCAATGGAGAAGGCAGAACTACAAATTTTGTTAAATTTCAGAGTAACTCTACTGAGAAATTATAACATGATACCTGGGGTAGATTAGATGAAGATGTATAACCCTATAATCTTTGATCCTGTGAAGCTAAAGTTGAGTTTCAAACTGGAAGGAAGGCAAATAACCTTGTAAAGGGTGAGGGTTCCTGACAAGTTAACCAATTCATCAGGAGAGAAACTTAGTAAGATGATAAAAAAGTGGAGGTAAGCATAGGACACAGACAGTTTATTGTCTATGGTCCATAGAATCTAACAGCAGAAAGCCTGGGAATTTTTCAAGATGAAAAGAACCAAACAGAACAAGTGTTACAAGTTTTCCAAGATATCATTGAGGAGCCAGAAGGCCTTCCACCCTCTAGAGGCTTGGATCATGGCATTTCTTTGCTGAACAACAATTCCCCAGTTAACCTGAGACCCTATCGATATCCACAGTTTCAGAAAAAAATAGATTAAACATCAGGTTAAAAAGATGCTTGATGCCTCAATTATCCAACCTAGCCACTCTTCATTTGCATCTGTGCAGTCCTATTAGTCAAAAAGAAGGATGGAACTTGGAGATTATGTGGGATTATAGGGAGTTCGACAAGATTACAATCAAGGATGAATTTTCAATTTCTGTCATTGATGATCTTTTTAGATGAATTGCATGGGGCAACAGATATAGTTACCACCAAATATAAATGGAGGAGGAAGACATTTACATGACAACATTTCGAACTCATCATGGATATTATGAATTCACAGTCATGTCATTCAGTTTGCCAATATACTCGTCACATTTCAATGCCTTCTGAACCAGGTATCTGAAGCTTATTTATGGAAGTTGTACTGATTTTATTTGATGACATTCTGGTATATGGCCCTTGCCTGGATCAACACAAAAAGTACCTAAAATTGGTGTTCATACTGCTCAGGCAACATTAATTATATGCAAAAAATCCAAATGTTATTTTGCCGAAGAAGAAATTGAATATTTGGACATATCATCTCTAAACAAGAGGTCAAAAAAATCTTTAAAAAGTAGAGGCCATGCTGATCTGGCCTCTTCCAACCTCTATCAAAGGCTGCAGGGTTTTCTTGGACTCACAGGG